GGGAAACCATGTGCACAGATTTCAGCTAGAGAAAGAAGGGACGTTTTCGTACCAACCTTTCTCCTTTCTTAGCCTTTGAATCCCACAATTTACAGCTGATTTTCTTTTGTACTCTATGTATCCAATAAGAAGAGGGAGTTAATTTTATGAATGGAGTTCTTTATTTTAAAGGCAATCCATTTTAATCTGTAGTTAATAATTCCGTTTGTTTTGTCTTCACCCTGCTTTTTTTAAAAATGTGGTTTCTGATGGATACATACCCATGTGTGTTGCACAGAAATATTTGTTTGGGGTGGGGGGGAGGAAATCTAGGATATTTCAGCTGAAATTGGCAACCTTATATTCCCAAAGGGGGAAACCTGTGTTTTCCACTGGCTTTTGTCTGTGTTTATAATTTTTTTCTACTTACTTGTCCTTTTGGGAGAAATGTCGTTTTTCATTGAGGCAAATATGTAATATGAGTCTTCAACAACTGCAAGCAAGGGTTTTTGCATCCTGCAGATATTAGCAGATTTCATCCACTTTGTTCTTTATTGTGTGTGATCTTTGCTCCATGTTTCTAAACTCCATTTTAGCAACAGCTGTTTTAGATATTTCCTTGGGGATACATAGAGGAACCTATAGGGACGTCAAGTAGTTGATCTTGGCTGATCTCAGAAGCTAAGCAAAGTCAGCCTTGGTTAGTATTTGGATGAACCACATGGGCATTCAAGAGCTGTAGGTAGGCTGGGAAGTAAAGAAGAAATCCTGGAATATTGGCCAATGATTTCCAAGATAATTGTATGGATGCAATCCACAGAAATCAAAACTTAACTGGAGGGCATCTTTACCTTTTAAAAATTCTACTTTAAATATAAGTGATCTCATCAGAATGGGAAATACTATCTGGATGTCTTGTGTATCCTTCCTCTCTTAGGACTAACCCTGGTGTGTATCCCAGATCATGCCTTGTACTTTAGCAGTGCTCCCTAGGTAAGGCCATGATCTAAAAAGCAGACATCAACTTTATGGGCAGAATTCCATCTGGATTTCTTTCATGCTCAACAGATTGCCCTTTGACTCAAGAAGGCTGCCAGCACATTCAGCATTATGTGGGGGGGGGGGGGTTGGAGCTTGCCTCTACACTTGTATTCAGAAGCCAGTATTTGAAAATGGCTTAGAAGCCCCCTTATAATTAATTGGTGAGCTTCTAAGTTCCTTCAGCTCCTTGGCTTTGCATCCCATTCATATGACAGATTCAGACCTGGAGAAAACACTGCAGAAGCCCAGCTTGGATTTATATAATATATTTATCTGCATTGGGATTTTCTTGGAGCATTTATCTTGTGCTCATGTACTTCTTCCCGGCAGTAAAATGGCACATGAAAAAGGAAAAGTAGAATTTGCAAAAAGGTTTGGGTCCCACCTAGACCACTGTGCTTCTCTCTGCAATCATCTATTCTAATCCCTTCTCATTTTTTCAGAGGGGGTGGGTGGGTGTCGGCCAACACTCAGCATTTAATGGCCAATATGCATACTTGGTTGTCATTGAATTTTGGGGGTGTTCCTTCCAATCCCCTAAAAAAAATATTTTCCTTGGAGTCCCTTCTGTGCTTGCTGATTGTTCCCTTGTGTGCACTGATAACTCATATTTAGTCATCAGAAAGGGAATGATCATAATATGCACAGCATATTAACTACTTTTTTCATCATTTAGTGAACTGAAGTGATTGAAAGTTGAGGCAAGCCAAGTATCTGCTGGACATATCTTGGAAATTAAAATATCAATAAAGGGAGATTGTCTAATGCATCCGCTCCAAAAATAGAGGACTATAGTACTGGAACAGTGAAATCCAGCGAGGAATTCAGATGAGGCGAATTCTAGAAGCATTCCTATCTGTTGAAGTGGCTCTACAAAAAATTATGCTGGATTAAAATTGGGGAGTCTTGACATTCCACAGCCTTCAGAAATCTTTGGCATTTCTCCAAATGGCTTGTTACTGCAGTTCAGAAAACGTTGTATGAACTTTCAGCAGCCTTTTGCAAGTGCTCTTCTTCCCCCTGCTGGCCATGTCTAATTCTGTGATAATTACTCCATCTAGGCTTAATTTTGAATGATCAAATTGCTCTTTTGCAGAGTCTTCTTTTGAGCACCCCAAACCCATTTACCCACATGTATGGTGGGGCAGTTAATAACTAGAAAAAAATGTAATTCTGTGCTTCGTAGAAACTGAAGAGATATAGGACATATGAAGACTCCTAACAGAATAAACCCAGAATCCATCTAAGTCACCGGCCATAAAGCTTCAGGAAAGAGATGTTGCCTGGATTTCCCTCCCATCCTTCCTCCATACACTTCTCTTTTTTCCCTTGTAACAGCTGAAGATCACCCAGCAAAGCTTCATGGTTGACTAAGGGACTGAAATTAGGGTCTCCTATTCCTAGTTTGGAACACTAATTCAGCTTGTCTGTGGTACCTGATCTCTGGAAAAGGCTCTAATGCTGGGAAAAATGGAAGAGGATGACCAGCAGCCAGGTGGATGGACTCAGTTACAGTGGTGATGAGTGCACTATTGGGAGACTTGAAAGAACAGATTAAGGATAGATCATCATGGAGAAAATCTATGTATGTGGTTGCTAGGAGTTGAAAATGACTTGATGGCACAGAATCAATCAATCAGTCAGTGCTGCCTGAGGCTGATGGAAATTGCAATCAACACATCTGGATAGTGCCAGGTTGGGGGACTGTTTGATGAGAACAGATAAGGTAACTAGATCTTTGGGACTGTATGGGAAGAAGTTTTACAAATGTATGCATGTGATTTTGTTAGCTCTTAGTGGGTTTTGATATTCTGGATCACCTGAGAGATTTGGAAATAGGAGGCACTGCTTTGCAGTAATTCTGTTGCTCTCTCATGGAAATGGGTATCTGGTGTCTTCAGGGTCCTAATGTGTTTCTGAAGGTTTTCAATATCTCCATGAAACTGCTAGAAAACTTCATCAGAAGATTTGGAGCTGTGCTCTATCAGTATGCTGATGACACTCAAATCTGTAACATTTCCGGGTTGTAATATTGCTCCCCTGAATGTCTTCCTTCTGCTAGTAATGGACTACATAAGGGATAATAAAATGAAGCTCAGTCATGGCAAGATGGGAATACTCATATGATGATTTATGGGTCTGAAGATTAAAAAAATTTGGATTAAGCGTGGGGCTGAAGGGATTTGTATAACATCCAAGAGGGAGGAGGCATTATAAGATGGTAATTATCTGTTGAAGAGAAGGTTGGAAGCCATTATATTTCATAACTTTAGTTTCTTTTCTTTTTTCTTGAACCTTTTTCTTCTTCAGATTTGTCTTTTACTTTATGTAAGATTCTCTCTCTCTCTCCCTCTCTCCCTTCCCCTCTCTATATATACTCTGTGTGTGTGTGTGTGTTTTATATATATAAAAAGACAAAATGGAAATAGTCATTGTGAGGGACCACAGTTCCAGGCACGAGTTGGCTTCCCTATTCTGAATCAGATCATAGTCTGAAAAATGGAGCAGTTTGTGGGTGCTGCTGGATTTGAAGATGTTGTTTCTTAAATGGGAAGGCCTTTTCTTACTTGCACATCCTGGCCACATTTTTTTTGCCATGTCCCCAGGACATTGTGTTCATTTCATCCCCAGGCCTTGAGTGGACAGGTTTAAGTTGTCCTTAGCTGTACTGCTGTTGAAATAGTATTTTCCCCTTTATTCTGACACAATCCAAGGCAGCCTGAAGTGGCACCCCACCCTTGGTCGCTTTGGAGGGAAGACAACTGGCTGGTGTTGACTTGAAAGAGAGGGACTTGTTTCTTGATGACATTCCTTATTGTCATTCCGTGCACCTTCTAAAAACTGGCTTTTAATAGTTGGTTTTAATTATTTTAAACGCATCCAGTATTTTGATTTTACATGCTATTGCAAGCTGCTGAGACTGATCCTCAGTGGTATACTAATATGTAAAGAATAAGGAACACATAAATAATACGTTGAAGCTGTTTTGAATGAGCAGCCTAGAGATCCAACTACATCAGGTCTTTGCCTATCCCACTGCTAGTCTGTTCTGCCAAAGCTCTCTATCACTCTGAACATTTGTTGAAATCAGGAAATGTGTACATTTTCATATGCAGCTTTTCCATATCTATATCTACATCTATATTGTCTATCTATCTATCTTCATTTTTATCCACAATATTCCCCAGATAGATTGCATTTCCATATTTCTTCACAATGTTGGTGTTCAGTTTTTAATCACAGAGAGAGAGAAGGAAGGAAGGAAGGAGAAAAGCCTGCAGACTCTTTTATTAAATCTGGGGCAGATTTCTCTGGTATCCCAATTGACACATCCATCCCCTGTTAAACTCACAGCAGTGAGACAATAGGTGCGCACTCACAAAGGGAATCACTGAGCAAAGCAAGTTGAGGTAGTACCAAAACTAGTTTTATTGCTCTCTTTCTCTCACTTCCTCCCTTTTTAACAAAATACAATGTTTCTTTCAAAATATACCTCTGCAGCTCTTTTTCCTGATTCATGCAATACGAAAGTTGATGCCATTGACTGAAAAGAGTAGGAGGGTTTGTGTGTTTAGAAAAGGTGTGGGTGTGCATGTGTGTGTGCATATCACAGTCCTTCAGCTTTGCCATTAAGTTCACAAGCACTGTCATCCTTGGGAATGCTTAGAACCCCTGCCAGCCAAAGTATGTGGGCAGGGGGTTGGACTAGAAGACCTCCAAGGTCCCTTCCAACCCTGTGATTCTATGTGGAGATGCTCATGTGGCAAGATTCTTCTAATGTAGCTCCCTGGGGAATTCTGGGAGTTGTAGTCCCAGTGCATTTAAAAGGCACCTGGTTGAGAGAGGCTGCACTAGCGTTTTCATCTGAGAGAAGTCCCCACAGGCCCTGCACAGGGCTGCCCAGTTCCAAATAACTACAGCAGCTTAGTAGCCACTGGCAAGGGCGAAGCAGCTCACCGATTCCTGATCAAAACCTGGCCTTGTAATTTGTCTAGATCTACACGATAGCAACTGCTGTATCACTTACAGCTTCTGTTTCGTGCACTCCTGGGAATCCTGCAGACTGACACAGTTGCAGCACAGAGAGGCTTCCACTTTGTGGCAAGTGCGTAACTGAAGTGTTCCAGACGGAGTGACTTTAAAACCACATGCTCTGTGTGGTTCCAGTGTTCTGTGCTGAAAGCATTGAAGGATTCTGTAAAACAGGATTCCCAGGAAGTAAGTCCAGCGTGTAAGGGAACTAAGTTGATGAAATCCCAGTACTTTTGCAGCAAATCAGAAAGAAAGGAAGAAGAGACAAGGTTGGAACTCTGAGACCTGAAACAAACATACATACCATTTTCAGCCTCAAAAAGCCATCCTGTAAACATCTTTAAGAACTCACATTAAGGCTTGCTATTTGAGTAATTAAAGTTGTATGGGAAAATCAGTGCGAGCATCTTGACTTTCCCACTTACTCAGAATGGATAAACTTGTTGCATAGAATTTAATGGCAATGATGCTTGATCTTTTATTAGATTCTGCTTTAAATCAGAAATATATTCTCTGTATATCAGAGAAGCGATGTCATTTGTGAGGTTTGGAAGGAAGAGGACAGAAGATATATTTCATTATCTAAGTAGCATGATGGGAGATTGGATTATTTCTCCTAAGATCATTATTTTTCATTTCCACTTACAATTTCATTGAGAACTCTTTTCCTTCCCTTGTAAGTTGCTCATGACAATGTCTTCTTTTTCCTAAGAATATTTTTTAAAGAATTATAAGATATAAATAAATGTTATTCAATAAAACGAGAGGCGTATTTATTTATCTAACATTATAGGAGTGACACAAAAGGCTAAAGTGTTTTCAGGACTGAGGTCTTTGTCTTCTAGATGCAAAGATTTCATCCTACTGACTGTCCTACCCAGCAAACAAATTTGTTGGAAACTAAGCAGATTTGGATCTGATCAATGCCTAGATGGGAGACTACCTTGCCCTCTACATTGGTTGAATTTTAAGGCTGGCCATTGAATCCTTGGCAGGTATGAGTACAATAAGGCTTCTTGTTCTAATTAACTCTTACTTTAGCAACATACTCTTCCTGAACTCTGGTGACTTCTTGTATTCTTTGATTAGCCTTCTGCCTCCTGGTATACTCTGTTACTCCTACACAGAGTACACAGACCTTGCCATGGAGAATACGTCTTGCCAGAATTCTTCTTGAAATTGGTATTTCTACATGGAGATATATTGTGTTTAATACTGAGTTTTGTAGATGGAGGCACCAGTCAAAGGAGATTAAGAGACAGGGTGTTTTTGATTTGGGCGTTGATAGGGAATGAAAGCTGAAAGTTAAAACCAGAGAGCCAGGGCAGAAGAAGAATGATGGGAATATATCAGAATCAGAAAAATTACTGGTGCTCAATAAACATATCACCCCACAAAAGAAAGCCTCTTACAACAGTGCCTACCCATGAGGATTCAATAGTCAACCTGATTAGGCAGAAGAAATCCAGAACATGAGAAAGGATGTCACTGGACAGAAGAATCTTCTCAGTTCTGATTTCCATTTTAAGGTGTGTTTGGAATTCTCCTCAAAAAGGAAAGAACAAGGTTCCAGTGCATAGCTGAATAAGGAGGTTGATGTCTACTCACAGATTTGGTAGAATTCCGCTCTACATACTTGAACTTCTTCTGTTTGTAGTAGTCCCGATTAGATAGGAAATTCAATAGAAGGAGATCACAAAGTACAGAGGCCTACCAGAAACAAAACAGATTGGAAACCTGCAAGCCAATGTAGTTACAGTATTCAAATAGTCTAAAAGACGTGGTGAGGTAGAACTGGGCGCCATTTCCTATCATTCTCATAGAGATCTCTACTGGCTGGCTGGCAGGTATCATCTTTGCTTTATAATACCAGTGAGATGGGCAGCCATGATAATTTAGACAATAAATAATTTTGCAAACTACTGTCCTGATGTAGCTCTAAATTGTTCTCATTTTCTTTCTCTCTCTTGGAAATGTGTGACTACAAGTTGAAGCTCTGACCAGGAAAAGGTATGGATCTTGACTTATTGGCAAGCATGTCAGTATACATACTGTTGGATCTAAATTACAGAAGCATCAAGTCTTTGCCCTCTTTGTCCCACTGACCACTAGGAGCATTAGGAGAACAAAAAACAACCAAGAGACCCCTGATTTGTTCCCTTTTCGTCTCTTTCCTTCAGTTGGAAGCCTGATATTCTTAAGGTCTATTCTTCAGCCTGCTTCCTTCTTTCTCTTTCCTCCACCAGGAAGACAGAAAGCTCACAAATCCATGGTTTCTATTGGAGAATATAATTCCCTTCATAAACGTTGCTTGCCCTCACTTGCCCTTTCACAATTGGTTGGTACCTAGGCAGCAGATGGAATAGTTACAGCTCATTCGGCCCCTGTCTTCTCCATGATGGGGAGATGCTTCCTCCTTTTTAAATTACAGTTAATGTTTCTTAAATCTGCATTTAAATATCTCAGTTCATCTAGTACATTTCTTGCTGCGCCTCCTTCCGTGGATGCATTTCTTTACGTTTGGCAATGTGTAAGTGGCCACTTTGCGTGTCGGTACAAAAAATCAGTGTGTGTTTCTCTCTTATTCCTTCTTCCATATTTTTAGAATTCCATCTAGCCTGCAACTCTAAAGCACGAAATATAGCTGTGCTAGAAGTTCTCTGATACTAAAAGCCCCCTGAATAACCTGGTCAATGTTTGAAGCTAGTGAAGGAGGGAAAAAGTGAGCCTGTGGTCTTACAGAAATAGATCTTAGGACCCATCACTGGAAGCTGGGAACAGAGTTCAGCTTAGACAAGGCAGCCAAACTAGAGGCTTTTACAGTAATACCTCGGTTCAAGAACGCTTCTGTTCACGAACAATTCGGTTCACGAACAGCACCGTTCGCAAAATGTTGCTTCTGTTTGCGAACTCCGCATCAGGTGACGAACACGACCCGCGGCCATTTTCCCTGCTGTGACACGTGGTCGTGGCTTCTTGTAGGCGAGGGGGACTCTCCCTCCAAACAATAACCACCTCCCCACCCGCCTTCCTGTCCTCCACACCAGAAGTCGCCTCAAGCAAGGTTAGGGTTCTCTCTCTACATACTGTACTGTACTGTACTTTGTGTCATATTTTTGTGGTTTAAAAAAAAAATACATATGGTTCAGAACGGATTAACCGTATTTACATTGAACCTTATGGGAAAATTTGATTCAGTTGGCAACCAAAATCGGTTGGCGACCACATTCATAGGGGTCAGAACGGATGAACCGTATTTACATTGAACCTTATGGGAAAATTTGATTCAGTTGGCAACCAAAATCGGTTGGCGACCACATTCATAGGGGTCAGAACGGATGAACCGTATTTACATTGAACCTTATGGGAAAATTTGATTCAGTTGGCAACCAAAATCGGTTGGCGACCACATTCATAGGGGTCAGAACGGATGAACCGTATTTACATTGAACCTTATGGGAAAATTTGATTCAGTTGGCAACCAAAATCGGTTGGCGACCACATTCATAGGGGTCAGAACGGATGAACCGTATTTACATTGAACCTTATGGGAAAATTTGATTCGGTTCGCGACCAGAGTCGTGGCACGAATTAAGTTCGTGAACCGAGGTACCACTGTAGTTGTTTTGGATGGCATCTTAGTAATTCCTTGCTATCTAACATGCTAAATGGAGCTGATGACAATTAACATTCAAAACCACAGACTAGCAGGTTGCTTGAGCTGGTCCACACATAAGCCAGGCCCACATGTGCTGAAATGGAGACAGTGCTTCTGAGAAGCTAGGAACCTGAGTGTCTTCAACACAAAGAAAAGCACAATCTGCCCAGAATAGCTGAGCGAGGTCATGGTAGGTCCCAGCCAGTATTTGGTTAACACAGAGAATGGCGCCTGCTTTCATCCAGCCTGCTTAACTTAGTTCCTGAATTGCACAATGACTGAACATAAAATAACTTATTGGTTTTGTACAATATGCTAAGCCATAAAAACCCCTAACCAAGTTAACATAGACCCAGTTTGGCATATTGTGTGAATGCATCTGCTAGGTCTTTACCTGACCTGTTTAATAATGTATGAACGCAACTACTATGTCATAAAACATAAAATGGTGAAAACTTCATATTTTGAGATGAGTTTTTGGGGGGGGGCAGGGGAAAAGGTTATCTGATATATAAAAGTGTTCACATGTTTGTTTCTGTTCAGTCACAAGTTATTAAGCAATCAGACAATGGTATGTATCTACAACATTACATTATGATTTAAGGTTGTTTCATGAGGACATTTTGGAGGAAAACAGCTGTTGAAAGTGACCACTCCAGATGCAAAGGAATTCTGCTGCCACTACCTTTTACTGCTAAAGCAGATCAGCATTTAAAAAGAAAAAGAGAAAGTGGAAACAAATACTGTCTATGGTAGTTAAATGTTACTAACATAGAACCCCCCCCAGTTCAGCAAACTGCCTCAATTTCCAACTTCTTAATAGAAAGGAACTAGTCTGGTCAATCAAATACATTGTGAAATTGAACATTTTGTTAAAACAGAGGTCAGCAAGGTACCATCTGTAAGCGCCAGGGGTCCCAGTGGACTCTCTTGAGACTCCCAAATGTCTTCCAATAAATTAAAACAAATAATTTAAAAGTTTCATAAAAATGGGATTCCAGGGACAGCAACGATAGACCAAAGATGGCTCGACTTTTGTGGAGCTGATGTCCGGGGCAAAAAGCGAGCCAGTGAAGGGATCAACTCCTTGGAACCCCTCTCCAGATAAAAGAGAGGACAAGGATCACCCACTAGTTTGCTCCATACAGAATCTCCCTGCGAAGAGATTGCAAAATAGCAATCTCCAGCCGATTTGAGAGTTCTGGGAGCTGAGAGGAAAACATCTGCCTAAGCTGCGGATTGGCACCCTTTAAAAGGACACTGGGTTCGCCTTCTTCCTCTCTTAATTACTTAAGGAAATTGCTTTTTATGGATTACTTAGAAGTTAAGAACTTTCTGAAGGGCAAGTTTTATTACTCCGGGAGAATCTCCTTCTACCTTGGATGAAAGAAGTTACGTGTAACTCTAAGGATGAAAAAGAAAAGATTTACTTTTTGAACAGCAAAAGGGTTTGAAAAGTCAAGAGGCTAGGTGGACGTGAAAGAATATTTCCTGTGGGGTGTTTAAAAATGACTAAAGAGTATATGAAGATTTTGACATTAATTGTAAGAAATCCTCCCGTGGGAAAGTTTTCTTGTCTGGAAAATAAACAGAT